AAAGTTTTAAACAGTTCCTTACCCTTTCTAAGGTTTGATAACAAAGCAGGATTGTTAACATCCATCTTCTTTCTGGACTGCGACTTCAGACAAAATATGGTGCAGGTGGATTATGGGCTAGTAATAGTGGGTTTAAGGATTTATACCAAAACTTTAACCTCCTAATGACTTTCATGCTCTTCGAATCTTAGAATCTTTCTAAAATTCAGATGAAAAAAAATTCAGTTTTTTATGGAAAAGTGGACATAAAGGTACATAGACTCATTTCGACTCTTCTCATTCTTTCCCATTTACAGCTCCCTCCTTCCTTCTCTTGATTCTGACTACAAAATGCTCATACGAGCATTAATCTCAGAAAAGCTTAAAAACACGTTGAGCAGCAGATGAGTGGAAAAACGCTAAGAAAAATGGTGAGTCTTAAATTTTTTTCCCAATGTATCATCTCTTATCCTCCAGTACATCAGAACTGTGTCATAGACATACTATCGTTAGTCACTTCACCACAGGGCAATTTAAAGCAAAGTTTTGGCCCACCAGCACAGTAACCTCGTTATTATGAATGAAATTTTTGAAAATTCAAAGATTTTTTAAAATTATCTACTTTTGAGAACAAATAAATATATGATTCTATGTTGTGACTGCTCTTCCCGCACTTATCTAGCCTTCTGTTTCCTTTTTCCCATACTCTCCTCCCCTTCGCTACCTTATCTCCCTCGCTGCTCATCCCTCATCCTTCTCAAATTTTCTTTCAATCTCTGTTGAGAAACAAAATTACAAATTATAAAAAATTAACAAATAACTTGTAAGAATTCTAGAATAAGCTAGAACTCGCTGTTTGGGCTGACTCTACTCAAGTCGTCCACCAATTTGATCGAAATCCTTTTTCCCCTTCCCTCCAAGAAAACTTTGAAATCAACATTGTTTCACCCTTATCTACTCAGTTACAAAAAAACTCATATACAATATAATAATGTAAATTATATAAAAACTTGGGTATTCCCATAATCTTTTGCAGTTCACATCTCTTCAAACTAAAACCTTTATTGGTTTTTCAATAAAGTCCCAGTATCAATGCATTTTATAGTGCACGTGATCCTTCTCATTTCATTTCTTCTTTTCTTCTTTCGATGATTTTTCACTAGACGTTTGTTTGCTGAACGGACACATGATTTTGCCTTCTGAACTCTTCATAGCTGCATGGTGAGCTGACTTTGAGGGTGTGGACGATTTATCATTGGAACTAGAACTACGTGCTATAGGATGACCCATTTGTGTGTCCAGGAAATGACGTGCTTGCTCTAATTGCGATTTTTGCTGTTCTTCAGACCAATTGAGCTCTTTACCCATTATACGGACAACCTAAACACAAGCAGGCGAATCGCCGTATCACCCAAATGGCTATTGTTCCGAAATACCTCTGGAAGTGCTTCGTGGGCAGCGTAAGTGTCCA